TGTTAGCAAGATGGGAACTGGGGCTTATGACAGCCTGGAATATTTTCTTTGTATGCACTATAGTTTTCATTATGGGAACAGATAAAACCTCACCATTACCAGCAGACCCCAACTGGATTCTACTTATTTTATCAACTTTATTGTGCTCCACATTCATCATTCAGTGTTCCTGTCCCCCACCCCACCCTTGCCATGGGGACAGTCACAACAGGACCGTGCATATATCTTAGGATACTCAGTTCTGTCTCAGTAGGGCTGCTTCACTTCAGCTCACTGGACCAACAGGTTGGGGTTCTCATCCGTGCGTATGAAGCAAGGCTTCCAACTTCATCTGTGACATAGGTGACAACCCCATGGGCTTGTGGTGCCGTCACCTCGTACGATTGTGTCTGTGTGCAAACGCGCATACATTTCGTACAGCAATCTGAAACTATCAGGCAGAAAAGACACAGGAGCCTGGCTGAGACCCATACAACTGTTATATTGGCGTCAGTCTAAAGAAAGCAATGATACATTGCTTTGGAAATTATCAAGAAATGTAAAAAATGCATTTGCCCTTTTTTTGTTGTTGTTGTCATAGTCATCAGGGGCAGGGTTCTGAGTCAGAAAACAAAGCAGAAATAGATGCGATTCTGTACATGGCGCCTCTCTGGCTGTCCCTCCACGCTGGGGTGTGGTGAGCAGGGTAATAAAACAGGTGGGACCCCTGCAGTAGCAGCAGCATCTGCACCATCATCGTTCACATGTCCAGCTGAAGAGGCAGGTGATGCAGAAAAGGTCTGTGGATAATGAAACTCCAGCTCTGGATCACAAGTTTCGCTTTCTTCCCCTGCATGTCAGCCACACAGAAATAAGGAGAAAAAAAAAACAAATGCACCCAGTGTGGCTGGCCCAGTACTGCCAGGAATAATGAGCAGGAGTGATACAAGGAGGAGGTTTGCTGTTTTATAAGAAATGTCTTTAGTCTGCAGCGTACTCTTGCAAGTCAGAGATGCTTAGTGGCAAACAGCAGATCGTTTTCCCCATTCTTTCCTTCCACGCCACTCCTCAGCCATCAGTTCCTTCAAAGCTTCCGTCCACAGCACAGTGATCATACCCACCATCCACTCCCATACACAGGGAAAGAAGGACATTCCAGGAACTAAACCTGCCCGTGCCTTCCCACCATCTGCCTCACCTGAAGGAGGCAGTAGGTCTGTACTCAGGCCTGTCACAATGTGCACACTGGAAGTACCTCAAATGAAAAAATAAATAAAAAATGCTGCCCTCCCCAGAAAGAGGAATTTGTACAGCTGGCACCAGCAATTACTAAATTCAACACCTACCCCTTAAACTGCAACGGTCTCTGCTAGCCACGTGTTTTCCACTCTGCAGGACCTAAGGGGTCTTCCATCAGAGAGCGGGGTTTTCCCTGGTCATGGCAGGCTCTGACCCCTGAGGCAGCTGCAGCTTTCACTGGGAATGTGTGGGGCATAATCCTTTCCACCATTTTCCTTCTTGTCAAGAAAAAGCCTAAAAGCTGATGGGGCTGTCAAGCATCCGAACAAGCCGACTGCCACCACTAATTTAGATTAGTACTTTGTTTCTCAGGAGCAGAGAACACCTCTATCTCCCACTGAGAGGGTCAGATGGACTTTCTAGTGGAGGAAAATGAGATAGGGAGCCCTTACCCTGATTTCATTTTCAGAAACAGCCAGGCACAGCATTACTTCCTTTCAAATAGCTTTGGAGAACACTGGCACTAGCAACAGCAAACTCTTCAAGGGAGACACGCTTGTGTGCCCATCTCGATACAGGCATGAGGGTTGGAAAGGATGAGATTAACTGACATCAGCTGGTTGCTTTCTCCAGGGAAGGCTTGAATTAGGACTTTGATGCCAGATGGTTGTATAAATGGATTCGTATTTCTCTACTTTAACAGGATTTGGTGTTTTTTTTCCAAGGTACCTTGAGCTGCTACTGGCCAGTTCAAAATGACACTGAAAAAAGGACACTGTCAAAAATACACTTTGCTATTTCTGTTTTATGCCCCAGAGAATCAAGAACAAAAGAAAGGGCATTACAAAAATAATGTCACCAACATACACAATGAATGATGCTCTCAGACATCTGCAGAAGCTCAGGATTTGAATGAAAGTTTAGCTCTGAGTCAGATTACACCTCCTAGCTCAGAACTGATCTGCAAGTTTGTGAACCATCTTGAGAAGGGAATAAAAACAGCATCAGTCTAAATGAAAACCAGTTGTATAAAATCTAATGGTACTTGCCTGTTTTTTCAGCCTCTTTCACGGGTTAGGGTCAAGTATCAGCATGAAGAAAGTCAAGAGACGTCCACACTCACTTAGTAGGGAAATATGGCTGGGACATGTGCCTTCAGATGTTTTGTGACTTAGAATCTGATCTATCCACCGAAGTCTGGGAACAGGGATGGGACAGTGCACGGGAACACAGAAAAAACCTACTTCGTATCTGCATCTTGGCCAGACTGCAGCTATTCTCCTAAGCAATGATCTAGAGCTCTCTCCCTCACTTAGCCTCTGCTTTCAGCCCAGACCAGAGTTAGATAACTTTACTTTGCTAACGATTCTGCCTCTTGCAGATTTGATTTTCCCAGGATCCTGCTATAATCAATCAGGATTAGCTGTTTAATAAATTGAAAGGCTGACTTTTTCCTCCACTCCTTGAATTGCTGGTGCCAGCTGAGTACATAGGATGGATCTACCAAATGGGCTTGGGGCTCTTGCCACCCTCGAGTGGGACGAGACCTTTAGAGAAACTGAGCAAAAGGAAAGAGAACAAAGCCTGAAGAAAACGTCCCGGTATGGGGAAGAAAGATTCTCTACCAATAAAGTCATCGTGCATGTTTAAAGGGGGTGAGGAAGAAGGAAAATGAACACAAGATATGCAAAATCAGTAACGTTCAACCTGTCAGTGGATTGCAGAATAGTTACTTACACCAGGTACACTTTGTTCATTGTACAAATTAAAAAAGGAAAAAAAATAGTACCCCTTTCCCCAACCACACGTAGAAAAGCACTTAAAAGTTCAAAGGTAAAGCTTGGCACATTCCAAATACGAAATGATTCACTTGACATGCAGCAAAATATACAGGAAGTGATTCTTTTTTTTTTCTTAAACAAACTTAATTTCAATTCATTGTCTTTGCTTGGCACAACTGCAATTCATTTTTAAAAAAATATTTGAAAAATACTGAAACTGACCTGAATTCAAGTATAGCGGTTTCTTCAACAGAAACATTATCAATGCAATAAAACATCACACGGAATATATCGAAGCGTAACGCTTTCTGGTTTGTATTTTTGTTTGTTCCCCACCCACCCCCCCAATTTTTGTTTTCTATACAGTTTTAATGCCAACACAACTTACAATTGCATTTTAAAATTAATATTATTGCATTGTTTTTGCATATCTTGTGGAACAGAAAATGCAAAGTTACTGATTCCCCTTTCAAAAGCAGAGACAGTGGTTTGTTTTTGCATTCAAATGGCCCCAGATACAGATCTCCTGCAGTTCAAACCAGGATGTGGAGAACTGCATGCACTTACACACACACGCGCGCGCACGCACACTCGCTCTGAATTGCTCCCACACGCAGATATACTTAGCACTAAGAAGAACCCAAATCAGTCACTCAAATGTGCAAGACTATATCAAGTGCATTGCCTACTATCTTTAAATTATAAAACAACAACAAAAAAAGGAGGTTTCAATTGCTAGCAAATAAAATTACAAATTCTTGGTGTACATAATGGTTGGTAAAACTTGTCTATCGTTATACTTCTACCAAATTTCAATGGAGAAAGAAAACCCGGTTTAAATAATACAGCATGATCAAACCAATTTAACATTTGCAAAAGTGAAAAGAAACCAGAACAAAAAGGTAGGTGATTACAAAACCTTGTAAACACTCCCTTCTCCCTCCAAAACAATTTAAAATAATAGTCAAAATAAAAACTGCAACATGCTTTCAAGGAAATATCAAACTGCAAAACAAGGAGAGATCTACACAAGCCCACCACCACCACCTCGGCAAGTGCGGGGCAGGTCGGCTCAGCCCCGCCGCAGAGCCTGCTCCCCGCTCTCCCACTGGCTTGCACGCTGGCTGTCAGAGCTCTGATTGGTCGGCAGGAGACTGCCTGAGCTCGGAATGGCTGGCAAGTGACTGCTCGAGCTCTGATTGGTTGGCAGGAGACTGCCTGAGCTTGGATTGGTTGGCAGATTCCGCTGCCTGGGAGTCTTAGCAGGGTTGGGCAGCGCTGCCACCTGCCCCTCAGGCTTCTTCTGCTTCCTCCTTCACTTCGCGGTATGGGAATCCACAGCAGAAGAAGTCCTCCACTCCTTCCGAATCAAAGGGCCTTGGCTTTATGGAGACGGTGAGGCTCATACAGAATATGTGCAAAATGATTTTTACAAGCAAAGTTGAAAGACACCCGTTTGACGCAGGGTCCTTTTGGCTAGGGCCATCCACAGGAAGCTGAGGTTCCCCTATGCGCTTGGGAGGCAGCCGTTCCTTGTGCAGGGACTGAAAAAAAGAGGGAGCTGGCTCTCCTCCTCTTCCTCCTCCTCCTCACTCTTCCTTCAAGGACACATGCTGGGGTTATATCCGCTCCTGAAAAGCTTTCTTACACCACCCAACTCTGCGACTCGTCCCAACAGAAATGAATGAAGAACGCTGTTCCGGTTACTCCAGGTCACGAGAACAGTGAGGCACTTCTGAAACAAACCCATTAGGAACATTGAAACAAATAAAAAACCAGCATCGCTTCCAGCCCTGGCAACTACAGGCTGCTGATATAAATCCTGCTGTCCTTGAGCTCCTCCTGACTTATTCTACAATCCGGGTTCTGCACCTCTTCCTCTTCCTCTCCTGCACTGTCCTGCCCTGGGTCCCTGCAGTTAACAAAAGGCAAGAGGTTGCCATTGGGGCTCTGCTTGCTGTTACCATTGAGAATGTTGTCTGCTGCATTTTCCATCTCTTCTATCGTCATGTCACAGGCATCTGCGAGCTCCTGGGTTGTGACCTCAATGAACTTTGGATCTTGAGCAAACTGCATCAGTCCTTCCGAAATCAAGACCTTCAAAAGCAGGTAGGGAATCAGAGACAAAGACAGAAGTTAGTATCCTGTATCATCCACCTCTAACACAACCCGTTAACCACTATTTTCCCTAGTGGTCCTTCTCCTCCCATTCATGCTGCTAACCCCTGCGTGGAGATGTGCTCTCCTATGCTTGGCATTGTGGGCAGCAATGTATCTGTTGCCCTCCTCTTCTCAGGGCTGTGTTTCTAGTAGACCTTGACACTGCTCATGTCCTTTTCAACTCTGCAGTCTTACCGCTTCAACCAGGCTGCCAGCGCTGCCATGAAACTGCCTGCTGCTCCCTCCGATCTGGCTGGGGACGGTGAGGGAGACTGGCCTGGCTCTCCTCGGGCTGCTACAGCCGGTGTTGTCAGGATACTGAGAGCTGCAGTGTACTGATGGGAAGCTGCTGTTGAGCTTCTCACTGGACTCTGCCCCCTCCAGGCGCAGAGTCGGGATGGTCTGTTGCGGCCAGCCACGGTTGCAGGGTGTAGCGGGAGGCGTTGCACATAGCCGAGAGAACATCGTGGGGGAATGGCTTCGCTGGAGCAGGGGACTCAGGCCGGCCACTGCTAACGCCTGTAGACAGAGGAGGAACAAGACAAGTGTGAGCTTGCTCTTAGCAGTAGGGCTGGAACCCTCATTCTGAAGGCTCTGCAGAAACTACCTGAGAAATGCCTGGATGGCCTCAAGGCTCATGAAAAGAGCTGCCAGTTCCTGGAATGGTTTGGGGATTTGCTGTGAACTCATTTTGCAAGCTTTCCTTTAAATGGTGTATCTTGTGGTAGTGCCGAGCACCAGATTGAAAACTTTCATGACTGCAGTTCTTCAGCCTCAGAGCCACTGCAGTGACAGGAGGGATGCAGCCCTGCTCCCCACAGCCTTGCCAGAAACACCACCTCTTCTCCAGTGGGTGAAACAGCAGTTTGTTTTCCCACCACTGCCACCACCCATACTGCTAGCTATTACTGCCAATTGCTGTGTTTTCTGTTAAGTGTCTACTGTGGAACCTGAACAGTACCAGATGCGAATTTTAGATGTGTCTGCAGTTGGCAATAACTGAAAAATCCACCACTGGATTTTAAGGCATCTGCTGTTGGTGGGAGGATCAATAGCTGATGATTATACTTCGAGTCATCCAGTCCTTCCTGTAATCATATACACAACCTCTGAGTCATCCAGACTCCTTTTATAACAAATTTCTCAAGAAGCCTGCTGTTGCACAGGGCTGATCTGATGCCTTATTCATGTGACTGCTGCCTTGTTCCATAAGGAATACAATCAGAATCATAAGGTCATCTCACAAAGCTCACTGATGCCTAGTATAAGCAAATGAACCAATGCATAGGGAATACAAAAGCATGTGGATTGTGTTGCAGGGGATCCTTGTTTGGCTTACCCAGCTGCAGCTATCTGAAGGCTGTATGTTTAGCCTAAGTTAACTGTTTAGAGAGACACCAACAAGCCTCCTACTTCTATTTGATACCTGCCTGAAAATGCTATGTGGAGGATGAGACTTAGACAAGACCTGCTCTTTTGGGATGCCCTTTCCCTCTGTTAAGCATAGTGGGACTGAACTGACCAGTTTAAATTAGACAGCTAACTTGAACAGAGCTGAAGTTAAGTAAGGCTGACTCCATCTGCCACTGAAATCCTTGGGAACTGATAACCATGCTATGCTGATGGTTTCAGTGACAGATGAACAAAAGAATTGTCACCTACAAGGTTCACTGAATTTCTCAGGAATTAGATGTCAGACATCTATCAGACTTCAGTGAGGAAGAAAGCCTTTAAAAATTATGCTGTATAAGTCATGCTCAGCAGGCTATAATGGCCTCAGCACATCCCTTAAGCTGCCAGGGCTTCAAGGAGAGCCATAGATCTGTCAGGCAGGACAACTAAACTGGTTTTTCAGCTTATTGGCTGAAACATATACAAGGCATTTTGGCTAAAATGTAAGGTTCTGAGGAAGTTGAGGGAAGCTCTTAGGGACTGCTTTGACCTTCAGTTACATATATTTACATATTATAATGAGTGAGTATTTTGTGAGAATACTCTTCAGGCATTCACAGCAACCAAATCCATTGTGCTTAGCAGAGGCAACATTTCCACTTTATGTTCTTATTTTAAGCACTGTTGGAGGCTAACGTTTTTGTAACTATATGAACACTGCTGAGTCTTGTCAGCTGGAGGCCAGATGATTATTTCAGGGGAACCCTTCAATATGGCTGAGTGACATTGGGGTGGATAAAGCCCCATCCCTCTTGGTTTGGAGCTGCATGGTGGGATGAGGAAGGGTGAAATAATTCCATCCTCTTTATACAGGCTGGAGGGAGGTGGTTCTGCCAGGTGGGTAGGCTGAGAGGCTGGGAGGCTTGTGTCCCCTCTGCCTAGCCTGCCATGGGAGGGCAGGAACTCTCAGGAGGGCTGTTGGCTGCTGTGGGAAACATAGGAAGCTGTTTCCTGCCCACATCTCCCTGCCCCAATGCATTTGCTGCTTGTCTCTGCCAGAGCTGTAACTCTCTGCAGAGCACTGCTTTCTGGAGCTTGATCCTTAAAGGATAACTGGCTGGGAGCAGATGTAAGGAAAGCCAGAGAGCCTCAAGCATGCTCATCTCTCACTCCTCTGCTCCGATTTCTCCTTCCTTCCGCCCCTGCTGTCTGGCATTTTCTGCCCCTGAGGCAGCCTAAGGAGGTGGCAAGGCTGTTGTGCCCTGTGCCAGGAACTACACAGAGCAGGACACCACACTTGCAAGGCTGGCACTACCATCTCTACTCGTTTCTTTTATGGTGACAAAAAGTGTCATCATTAAACTAAAAGACACAAATCTACTCTGGACTGTGATATCTAGCATACTTTTCCAAGGCTGCTGAATGCACTTACAAAGGGCTTAAGATGTGAAGTAATCAGTTTATGTTTTAAAATGATTAATTACAGTTACTGGTTGCCCTTAAAGTAGAACCTGCATGTTTTATTCATATTCATACTATCATCAAAAGCAGTGTAATTGCACTCCAGCATGCAATTTGGGTAGGTATTTTTATCTTTTAGTTAGTTTTTTATTTTACTCATTCATGGACATCAGAAAATGGTAAGTCTTCTGACTCCAAAGGACACATTCCTGTAGCATTCTTTTGGGAATGATAAAAATCCTGAAAGCAGGAATGAGCATGATGGCAAATAAGTTTTCTAAAAATTGGACATTTGATATGGATGAGAAACTATCCCCAATGGTTTTTAAAAAGTTGGTTGGAATTCAAGGAGGCTGCAGATGATAAGGTACCAGTTGAATTGTTGGGCCCTCTGTGGTTATTAACGCTTACCTGATGATGTACCAGATGCAAAGGCAGAACTGTCTTCTGCGAGACGTCTACACCCTGGTTTTTCTGTCTTTTTAGACACTCTAAGTGAAAAGATGCTCTTCGACCTGTAACAGAAATCACACACAACTGTGTTCATCACTCATAATATGCTACTGGAAATTGGTTTCAACTTCTTTTAGAGCAGTCCCATTGGAGACAGGGCAAAGTCATATACATTTTATTCTGTGTCCGCTTTCCCTCAATACTTTGCCCCTTCCAAAGCATTTGTATTTACAAAAAGCAGTCAGGCATCATGGACCAGCCAGCACCACCTCCCAGGCAAACTGCGAGATAAAATTCTGGATGATGATTTGTATTTTTCCTCTCCTGAAACACTGTCCTAGCAGATACAATGCAGCTGATTTCCCTTCTAAGCAGTGGAAGTGTTCTCATAACCCTGATTCAGGTAAAGCCCTCAGCGGGGCTTAGAATGGTAGCTGAAGCTGTGGTGCTGTGCCTGGCTCTACATAACATGCTGGAGCAGACGTCAGGCTGCTCAGGTGACATTCACCTCCTGCTTGCATGTGATCTGTGTCCCTTAGCTGCCAGACATACCACAGCTCACCAGGCTGTGTCTACAGCAAGGTCAAGTGGAGTGAGTTAATCAGTGGTTGAGTTCACTGGTGAATGGAAGGCTGCTTATATGGACACTAAGCATTTTCAAAATTTGGGAAGAAGGGAAGAGAAAAAAGGTTTTTTCTCTTAGGAAAAAAAAAAATAGAGATTTTAGGGGGAACTACAGAAACAGCCACATTGTTTATTTGCTATAAAACCGATCTTCTGTAAATATGAGAAAGGTACTCCCTATGTGGGAATTTAAAAGTACTATAAAGTATGTTTGTGAACAAGTGCACAGGCTTTACTTCTGAAGAATGGCAAATAAATCCAGTATTAAAGATTAAGCTGCATGCTGTACTAAAATATTTTGTGGACTTCTTGATCCTGTTAACATTTTTTGAAAGCAAGCAAGAAAATTAGAATTCTGAAAAAAGTAAATGTCTGTAATATTGATTTGTTGAGAAAAGGCCCTCTAAGGGTTGAGGGAAATGTGTTAGAACCCAGAGAATGAATACTACAATGCAGATAAAAAGTATTTCCTCTTTCAATAGAAAAAAACCCCAAACAACTAGTAAAATGAGTATGACACCACTGTATGAATATTCACTGGAATGTAGTTAATGAAGCACTGTATCAAGAACTGACTGCAAATCTGGATATACAGATAGATATAGGAACTATCACAGCCTAATATTTTAAGCTCTGAAATAAAGTAAATGCTTTTAAAATACTCCATTGTATAAGCAACCTGAAGGATTTGAGTGAACCCAGAGTAGCTTCACTTTAAACATTACGCTACCTAGCCTGTCACTGTTATTTTGTAAGAACATATTTTATATACAGGATTCTTTTTAGTTTCTTCCCCAAATGTTCTTTTTCTTCACACCAGGATTCAGGAAAAAGGCTGAAAAATATTCTACATTAAAAAGTCATTTTCTTCAAGACTCTCACATTTGTTCTGATACTTCTGTAAAATCCTGTGACTCATGGATTTCACCTGAGCGTAGCTTACGCACCCAAGCACTTGAAAATATCCAGGTACAGTCAGAGCAGAAAGTAAATTTGTATTGTATTAACTTAACCTGAAACTGGCTCTATTCATCGTAGCAGACAAAAGAGACAACCTCCCCTTTCTCCCTGCTGAATGCACACAGAACACCGTATACTCAAGGCTAGCCTATTCGGTGACTCCTTGGAGACTGTTTGGAGAGTCTACAGTGCTCTAATAAACTCCCCTAATTCACAGACAGGCTTAATCAAACAGATCTCATGGACTATCCAAACAGCCACAGGTTCATCTACTGACTGAGCATAATGTCAGTAGAATCGTGCATGATCAGGATCATATGCACACTGTGGGATTCCTGGTCTCATAAGCTAAATGCAGCAAACAGCAACACCCATGCCCACACATGCTGGGATTCCTCCAGCAAAATGTGAGAACTCAGTCGAGGCAGAGGAGAGCACAGCCCGCATGTCATGGTGGGGGGTTACCTAATGCTGAGGAGCACAGAAATCCTTTCTTTGGAGAGTGCCGGCTGTCTTCTCCTTTGTTGTTTTCTGGTGGAGTAAGTTGTCTGTTTTCGTCATCTTGGTACGCAAGCCTGGAAAGGAGAACAGAGGGAATCTAGAAAAGCAGCTGATATTGGGCAGAATAACTCCTTTTTCAGCAGGGGAGCCAGGAAAATCATGCTATCAAATGGATGCAATAGTAAGCTAGCTTTGAGCTGTAACTGGTCCAGAAGCAGTACCAAGAGACCATGTGACAGAGATTGCTCTAAATGTGAGATTTGGGAATGTTAGGTAGTAGATATGAATATGGAAGAAGGCCCTGTAGATATGTGAATATGGAAGAAGGCCCTGTAGATCCAGATGTTTCATTCAAAGGAGAAGGAAAGTTTTGGGTCAAAGATGTCCTTTTCAGTGTTACTTGAAGAAAAACCAGAACCTCTTCCCACCTCTCCCCTTTAATCAAAGAACCACCCAAACACCTTGACTTAAAGCTGCAAAGCTCACATTTCAGTAGAAAGCAGACTTGGTTCACTACAGTACTCAATGTCTTCATTCAAATTTTCATCATACGTCTCATCCTGAGACATTTCCTCTTGGCAAACAATTGCCAGCTGGCTGTCTCTGGAACTGGAACTAATGAGCAAAAAAGACAAGTCAAGATACAGAGATGGTAAAGGCAACCTGTTATAAAGACAATAATGACAGGCTCCATCTGTCCCAGTTTATTATAATGTCGAAGAGCCATCATAGAAAAATCAATGCCTGAACAGAGCTGCAGAGTTCACAAACACAAAACAATAACCTTTGGCTCTATCCTCTTTCAGAGGAAGAGCTTCTTAAGTCAGTGCTGGACAAATATTACTGTCATTTATGAGTACATGTACTCTATAGATGTGCAACATCATGCTGACTATATTTCCAAAGATGCACCTCACTGAGCGTGAGGTAAAACCTGAGATGAGCCCTTGGAAATACAGCTTTTTCCCTTGTTGCAAAAGCTTTGGCTATGAATTTCAGAGAAGCCTCCTAGACACTAACAGTAACTCTCTCAGCTCTGTGGTTTATTCTCTGCCTCCCAAATCCCTTTCTGTGGACATCTCTGCCTTCTGCTTTCTGTTCACCCTCTTGTTTCTTGCTGTCTTTTCCATTTTTGGGCCCTTTTCCTCATCATTAACTGCAGAGTACTTCTACTGAATTCAGTAGGATCCGTTCAAACTCTTAAGTGTGAAAGCCCTTAATTCCTTGTTTGCCTTCTCTTTGTCCCTCTGTTTTAGGTCTTGGCCCTCATATTTCACTTCCTTCTGAGTTTCTGTTTTCTGAGGAACAAAGTGAAATCTGAAGGTAGTGTGAACCTTTGAGAGACTGACATGGAGGTATTGGAGCCAATGTCAGTCTGTTACTAGCATTTGCAGAAAACAGCAGTATGGCAGGGGTTTTCTTATATTTCAGGGACTAGATAGGAAACATTATTTTATCATATGCTTTAAACAAAAAGCATTGGGAGAAATGTGCATACACGTGGTATAAAACAGCCTGTAGGACAAGAGTGATCTTCCTGCTAGGATGGGAAGCAAGTAAAACTGCCTAAAGCGCAGAGGGGAGAAAATAAGTACATGGCAGCTCCCCCTGTTCAAGAGTCTGTTTATCCAAAACCAGATAGGATTTTTTGTACTAACATGCCAGGGTATATTTCACTGTGCTCTTATCAGAGAGTGCCTAGATGTGTAACCCCAGCTAGAAACTCTAATACCCCCCCAAATCTAGGAACCAGCTAGAAACAGACTATGCATCACTATCTGCCTGTGGGCAGAAAAACCCTGAGTTGGGAGTATTTTCTGGAAATATCACTGTGATCATTAACTCTTTTTCAGCCCTACTGACACCAAAAATAAGATGTCATTCAGTATTAATGGAGATTTGGACTTTCAATGAATGAACAATGGATCTTACACCCAGAGTGCATTAGTGCACAGGGGAGAACACGTACCGTCCCAGTGTTTCGTAGTAATGCATCCTAATTCAAGGAAGGTGCCCAAGGAAGCAGGGAGAGAAAAAAACACCATGTTAGCAGTGTTACATCAGCACAAGTCAGCAAGGGGGAGGACAGATGGTAAAACATATTGTGCAACTCCTGGGGCCTCCCTCAGGAAGGCACAAAGTAATAAAAATACTGCACTATTTACCTGAGCAATTCATAGAATCATAGAATGGTTTCTGTTGGAAGCGACCTTAAGGTCTTCAGTTCCAACTCCCTTCCATGGGCTGGGACACTTTCCACTAGACCAGGTTGCTCAAGGTCTTGTCTAACCTGGCCTTTAACACTTCTAGGGATGGAACATCCACATCTGCTCTGGGCAACCCATTCCAGTGCCTCACTACCCTTACAGTAAAGAACTTCTTCCTTATATCTAACCTGAACTTCCCCTATTTAAGTTTAAGCCCATTACCCCTTGTCCTATCACTACAGTTTGTAATGACGAGTCTCTTCCCAGCATCCTTATAGCCCCCCTTCAGATACTGGAAGGCTGCTATGAGGTCTCCATGCAGCCTTCTCTTCTCCAGGCTGAACAGCCCCAGCTTTCTTAACCTGTCTTCATATAGGAGGTGCTCCAGCCCCCTGATCGTCCTCTATTTTGCACCCACTGAATTTCCTCTTACTTTCTTATTCTGTCCTTTGCTGGGGCAGCATTTCATCACCTTTTCACATTGCCCACTCTATGCACTGAGAAAAATTGTCCAGCTCCTTCCTCTGTTACTGAAAGGGTTAAAAATATCCCCCACTGATAAAGATGATACCCCTTTCATACTTGTCATCTGTCTGTAAACATCCTGAAAGCTGTCCAGAGAAGGGGGTTTTATTTGCCTTGCACAGCATTGCCTTCCTCCTCCCAGGATGCATTTGGTGACCCCTGGAGGGATGTGACCCACCGAATGAAAAACCACTGACTTCCACAGAGCTCCTTATTGGGTGCTTAAGAGGTGAACTGCAGTTTCTTGTTTACCAGTTGATGAAACACCTCCCTGTGGTGAAGGAGGGATAAATAAAGCTCCTTTTGGTTCTTACAAAGTTTTTTTTCATGACAATTCGCAACAAAATCAAGTGTGTTGGTCAGTAAGAGTGCAGTGGTCTTTGCAGTGGTCAGCCAATGTGTATCTGTTGTATGGGGGGCTTTCGCACAAGTGGAGAACCACAGGCTCAATCCAGGCTGCAGGCTGGGCAATGTCTGGTGGGTGACTTCAGCTTGGCAGCAGTGCTCTGGTGTCTGCATGCATGTTTTCATACTTGGTCCCTTGAGTCACTCACTGTTATGAAGCTTACCTTTTGGAAGGCAGTTTCCAAGGAGCCTCCTGTACACGTATGGTGGGTGACAAGGGTGTCCCGTGGCCTTCCACTGTGCTGACAGTGCTGGGGTAGCTGGGTGGGCTGGGGAAGCGGCACAGGGCTGTGTTGTTGGCATTGTTGATGTTGGCATTGGAGCCTGAAGATGAGTAGCTGCTGGGAGTGAAGGTGGAGTCCACCAGCTTCTCATGAGATGGAGACTCGGTATCTCCCTGGTTGTTGCCAGACTTATTGATGTGCAAAGGTCGCTGGGTGGTGAATGTCTGGGGGAATGCACTCCTGCCATCACTTTGGTAATAGCTGACATGGTTTCCAAACAAGCCTCCAGCTCTCTGTCAGAAAAGAAGGAAGGATTTTCCCTTTGTGAGTGAGAAGATGTGCAAGGGCCCTAGTGTTTCCTGCTTAGACTGCTGCTGTGGGAAAAAAACCCATGAGGGCCAAAGTGTGCATGCACTGGTGCTGTCTTTTCTAGAGAGACAAGGTACATGCAAGCCGTGAAAGCTTTGGCTTTCCAAGATATTTCAGAGGACTGGCTAGGAGCATAGGTAAGGCAAAGAAAAGGAAATACTACCAGAGGAGATAATGACAAGAAAGAGGAATAAAATAAGAAAGGGAAGATTTAGATAACTTGTACTTTTTTTGGAAGGATGCTACTTGTACCACTGATAGGAGAAGTGAACAAAAAACTGAAGTGTGTCTTGCTGCTGCTCTGTGGACTGTAAGATGGCTGAACTGGTGTATTCTTCAGACTCTTTAGCCATTCTTATTCTGGTTTTACTTAGGTTTTAGGAGGGAAACTTCCATTGAGAAGAAAACGGGATAAAACCCATGCAAAGATCTCAGGATCTGGCACCCTGAGTCCCCCACTCTGTTTTCTAGTAGGCTCTAGAAAACAAGACGGATGGCCAAGCTGAAAACCAGAGTGCATAAAAGAGAATGGAGCGCTCTGAGTTCAGCTACTGGTCTAGCCTCAGCTTGCAAACTTGCTGAGTACCTACCCGGAAGATATCATCTTCAGAGGCAGCAGACACAGCTTCTTTCATGGCCTTGTCTAACTCTTCTTCAGCTGTCAGGTCTCCAGAGATCGCTCGTCTGATCTCTGGCCCAATGTCGTGAAGTGTTCGCAGACCAGCCTGCAAAACAGCAAACTATAGAGCTTCATATCTCCGAGTGGTTTTATGAGGGGTAAAAGCAATTCTATTTCTTCCTAAGCACTGCAAAGCCCTTTTACTTAATATAGCATCCTTAGCTCCCAGAAAAACATCAACAAATTCTGTTCTTTCATCTCCAGCTTAGAGAGGGTGAAACTCATAGCAATCCAACCCAGGAATGTTTATTGCTAGTCCCCTGGCTTCATCACAACAGGACATAGTCATAAATCCACACACAGGCTTGACTAAGCAAGTCTACATGGTTTTTCAACCTTGGGTTCTCAGATCCATAACCAGAAGGCCTGGAGCAGCCACAGTTCCAGCCGAACCATGGGCTCTGAGCTTCTGAAAATGTCTTCTTTTAAATCAGCAGTTTAAATATGGATTTAATAGCTAACCTTCTGGCATCTGGACCTAGACAGTACTGAAACCCCTCACTGACTGGAATCTATTCCAGGGAGTCCATCCAGGAAAGTAAGCTGTGGGTATGCCAAGACCTCAATCTGTATTTGAGCCTGCGCCACAGCACTTTTTAGCTTACTGGAACTCCAGTCACCCTTCTTCCTTACAGTACCCTTGAGGGACGTAAATGGGGCTGCATATACATTCAGTGAGGCTTTCTCATTCTTTCACACAGCCTGGTAGTCCACCCAGTGAACATGTAGCACAGTGGTGAAAAGATCCCAGGTCTTAGAGCCTGATACCCCATTTGTTGGATGGCACTGGCATCCAGGTATGCTTTTTAACTCATTTTTCCCCTGGCAACATGCTCTCCCTGACCCTGCTATAGAAACTCCCTTCAGAAAGGGTAGAATGAATGTGGTAATAAGTATATGTCTGCTGGACACTTCATACCAGTTCTCTAAAAGAAACCCACATTTCAGATATTACCAGCAGATTGATAAACTGTGGATATACCTCACTTGTGCTTTCCACCTCCAGAACTAAGGGATGTGGCACGTGGTACCTGCATGTTTATCCAAAAGGATAAATTCAAAGGGTCTACAAGCTCCTTTCCACTGGGGATAGCCCACTCCACCCCCCAGCATGGTTGAGAGGGAATTGGGATCTAATGCCTCTACAGTACCACCCCTGTCCATCCTGTGCCCGCTTGTCACCTGTAAGGAGAGCGCGTTGCGCTGGGAGGGCTTGCCCACCAGTCCCTGTTCTTTACGTTTCTTGAACTTCCGGAAATATTCCTGAATCAGGAAAGTGGCATAGAACTTCCCAACGGTCACCTCATCGTCTGCAAAGGGGTATTAAAAATAAATAAATAAATAAACAAACAACTGCTTTTATACAGCGTAATTACTAATGTGAGCCTTGCAATTCACAGCAGAAACACTAGGCACCGCAGTACGGCTTTGCTTTTGATGGCATCAGGATGCGGGGCTGAAGGAAGGGATTGCTCCACAGCCAGAGCTTGCTGTAAGTAGTCAGGAAGAGAGGTGCATGCAGTATTTGGATAGACTGGCTCTGCTGGCAGAGAACCCCTCTAGGCGTGTACCTCTGGATGTATGCTGTTTACGCTGAAGTGCCTCTAACCTTCGCAGTGTCTGGTACTGGTTTACCACAGTAAACCAGTATTTTGCTATAGCAGCAGCCTCCCATCTGAGTCAACGCATGCTGCTCTGTCTTGTGACATCCTAGAGTAATACATACTCAGAGTCTGGGCTCACCAACAGCATTTGACTGACCATCCATTCCAGGCATGATCTGAAATTCTCCGCATTGAAATTCTGTCTGGTTGTGCCAAGCATGGACACGAATGAACCAAAATGATCACCTGTCCCCAGAAATGCAGTCACTGCTGTATCCTCACTCAATGCAAACTGTCAGTCAGACAAAATGTGGGCCAAGTTTTTGTACAGGTAACTCTCCCCCCTTCTCCAAACCCACTGGAAATGTTGTAAGACATGGTCTGCTGACTTCAAAGCAGGCTGAGCAAGATGCAGGATCTAGCTGCACCTGTTAACTAACTACCAAATGCTGTTTTGTGCTATAGCCCCTGCAGCTACCTGGAAAGTCAGCAAAGGCCACACTGGATGCCAACGCACCTGGGCTCCCAAGAAGCCCAGCAAAGGAGCTGCCTAGAAGCCTGCAAATTACAGCCTACCAGGGATGCTGCTTAGAAACCCACAGCAATCTGCTACACCAGTTCAGGCTGGCTGAGGAATGTCCCTAGGTACACTACTAGTCTTTGACAGGTATCATAATAGAAAGCAGTTATGTGGGTAAAAAGAGTTATACATAGTAAAGGCAGCTTTGCTAAATATGAAGGGTTTATGCGGTGCGGCTGCATTCTTGAGTGTAACGTCCACACCATTGTCGCTGGAGCTACTTTGTTCTGCCTGCTTCGTTTGCCCCAACAGGCACCAGATGTCCAGGAGGACAATTGCCTATGATCAAACTGGAGCAAGATCTAGGAATAAAGGTTTTTAACTCCTATTTATGCAGTTAGAAGCCTCATTCCTTAGCAGTGAGGACATGAAATTTGTGTTAGCACAGGCAGAAACAGATCTCAGCCTGATGAAATGCAGGTGACAGCTTGTAGAAGAAAGCTTGCCCCCCACATTCCACTTCATGATCATGAGATGCAGTAGGACATACCAGGTGGGGAGAGATAGAGATTCAGACTGGGACAAGCTCCTGCACTCACCACCTGCGGGGGGCACCACCTGGTCCAGCAGCTTCATACTGGTGCGCTTCCAGATTTTCTTAATTATTGCTCTCAGCTCTTCGTTGGCTTGCTCCAGGTTACCTGCAGGGTGCAAATCGTCAGAGACAGGGATTCAGCAGACCCTGCAGAGGAGCAATTTCATGTCTGGCATGGCAATCTTAGGAGGTAAACACCACAGCTTTTTCAGTAGTGGAAAGTTTTGGGCTAAGAGATGCTTTCACCATTGCTAAAGCCCCCTCACAGCAAGAGGTCTTCTTCCTAAATATGTATAGTCATCTTGAGGTAGGAAGGTGACAGTGTTACTGACTGTGACAGTGTGCAAAAGCCAGAAACAACAGAACCATAGTGCTACTTCATTCCAATCTCATCTAACACTTAAATTTTTAATTGAGATCTAGTGAAGGTTGAATATGATGAGAGGAGAGGGCAGTTGATGGGAAACTACAGCTTGGGGAACACAAATAATTGCCAGTAAAGATGCACCTAAAAATCTGAAGGCCTGTGCCTGATTGCAGCACTTAACAAGAATTACCTGTTGCAATCCTTGCCTCCCAGCAGATACCAAGTTCTTCACATGGTGCAAACAGTTTGCCTTGGAGAGTCTGCACAGTGCTCTGACAAGGAACTTCAGGCATGTGCAAAGTTTTCACTATTCAACTTAGAGGACTGTCCCAGGAAATTTGTGTTTATTCTCTGAAGAACAGCAAAGGCTATAAGAAGCCTTTTATGTACCTGTCTGAACTTAGACTTTACATGTTCCTCCAAGGGGTTCTCAGCTAAATGAGACATTAATCAAGCCACACTACTCTTCTGAGAGTGAGTGAAGCAGGTTCGATTTATATCCTTTCCCTCTAGGTAACCATTTCCTCCCAGGTTATTCACCTTCAATTTTATTTCTTGATTTATGTACATTCAAACCCCTTATAATTGAAGGTCTCTTGTCTCTC